TATGTTATAATCGGTGCCAACATTTTGTGTTCTATGAAATTCAAGCGTTAATTCTGAAGGCAATAACTTCAAAATCATCGGACACAGCAAAGCGCTGTAAGATTCCGATACAACATCTAACGCTTCGAGACATCTAATCTGTGTTTGTACTTTATCATACAAGTTACGAAATGTCATTCGCATTTTTTAATGATTCAGCATTCAGCAAATTATTCATGTGCGCATTAATAAGAATGCCTCTCCTTCCAAAATGGTCGTGTAAGATTTGAATTGCTGAATCATAATGTTTTGGCGATAACGGAAGTCCTTGAACGCAGCTAGCAGCTGTTCCTCCTAAATATGCTTTCAGGTAATTAAATTTGTCTACTTTGTTCAATGATTCGTTATTATGTATTGAGGACTCAAAAACTATTCCAAAAAGTAAGCCATTGACTACTGTTCCCATAAAATACGGGAATCGAAAGTTTTGGTAATTTAACATTAGGTGTATCTTTTATATTTTGCTGTGTGTTCGGTGCATTTAAGTCATGATTAAGTTCCTTAATCCGTTTCTCTTAAGCCTGAATTTCCATAACGTTATCTTCTCGCGATATTGTTCTGTAATTTCGAATTCATTCGACACTCAGAATTGGTTCAACTTCCACATCGGCATTAGATAGCGTTTCGGTTTTAGCATTAAGCTGTTCTAAAAAATTCTTCGAGCTCATTAATACTACCTTCAGATTTATTTAATTCACTTTCGATTTTCTGAAATAGTTTTGTAACGGCAGTTCTTAAGATACTTCTTTTCTTTTTTAATTTATCTACTTCTGCCATTATCTTTCTTAGATTCAAACATTTACACAAAAAAGATACGTCTCATCAAAAACAAATATTTAACTCTTACTTAGAAAACAAAATTATTCTTTTGCTGAATACTTCAAGAACAAGTATTAAAATCTTCAATTTTAATATTCAGCTTTTGAATTCACTTTATTAGAACTTTTCAAAAAAAACCTGGCGTCCCTGTTCGGGCGCCATAAAAATGTTGCATCAGGTTCTTCTATTTACAATAAAATTAATGTAAAATTCCTTACCTGCTGCATCTTCAGTGTTCTCGACGCCAGGCTTCTAATAATCACGTTTTCCAGTAAGAGTTTCTATTACAATTAGCAGGCCATCTTGTCTTTTAATTATTTATTCAAAGAAAACGCTAATATACACTATTTACAAGGTAGGTGATAATTATTTTAAGACAGTACATTTTTAATTCTGAGTCTTTACGCTCCTCAGAGCGGTTCCAATCTCGACTGGACTCGGAACTTAATTACAGCAAAAGTAAAGGAAGAGATGCCCGCCACCTAGTGGCAAGAATGTGACAGGAAGTATGTACAATTTGCAGTCAAATACAATTCCAGATGACTAACTTTTATAGATATTTACTAATACATTATATTCATTTTATTCTATGTTTAATTCTGTCAAAGAAATAAAATTTCTAGAAATATAGTTGTACGTATACAGGGAAAAATGCATCTGATAACTCTATAAAAAATAACTAGAATAAAAAAAAAGTACTTTCATTTCTTCCCAGCTGTAAGGCCTCATACATTTGTACTAAGTTATTTTTTTCTCAAAGGGATTTTTACTGTAATAAAAAGTAAGTAGCATGAAGTTGCCTAAATAAACATTTACTCCCCTTTTTCTCACTATAATACATGGTGTCATTTCCTATTATATTTCTAGTTATAATTGTACTGGTAGAAAAATTTCAGGTAAAAAATAAAAAGTTTTTTTTAATGCATTTTGCACCCTAGTTGTGGTACTACTTTCTTAATAAAGATCTGAAATTATTCTGAAAATTTTAAATCTTACCTTAACACTAAACTCCATTATTCCTTACAATTCTAAAAAATTTCAGGGCATTTGATCTATTTAGATGTTTTAAAAGTTTCTGCTGATTATCCTGATAAAAAAATTTCCAGTAAGTGCATATCAATTATACAACTTCATATTTATCATTTGCTAAAAAATTCTTAGATAAGTTACAATTAAATGATTTTTAGGAACAAAAATTTGCTAGTTACAAGAAAGTTATATATGTACATATTAAACAAAAGGGATGTTACAGACATTAAATGATAAGAATGAAACTTGAGAATTTTGAATTCCAAACAAGTGTAAAGTTTGTTGAATTTTTGCAATTTTCCTTTTTTGTTATTGAGAAAGATGCAATTACATATTCTTCAAAAATAGGAATCTAATTGAAAAAGCTTAAATGTATGGAATTTTTTGCACCTATATTGAAAATTAACACTGAATAAATACCAATATATGCTCAAAAATAGTATTTTTCATATTGCTCAAAAATAGTATTCAAATCATACTCCAGGTTTATTATATGTTACGAAATTCAATCCTACAGTGAAGTGAACAAAGGCCTATCAAAAAACCGGAAAATTACTAAACAAATATGTGTAAATAGCAAATGTTGTTAAAAACTGATATTGCAAAAATAAAACAATGATTAATAAATTTAGGATTAGGGATTTTTAGTTTTAATCAACTGTTAACTTGTCATTATGCATTATTGTTGCCTTTTTATTAAGGAAGAGGATATTTAGTAAAATATATATTCAAAAAACAAAACCAGCAACAGCCAGATCTTAAACATGTATTTTATTACCACCATCTGAAGTATGTTAAATCAATTTCTGTTCTATTAATATAAGTGTAAAATTATTTAAGAAAAGTTAAGATCCGTATTTGAAATTAGGAAATGCAGTCGATGAAGGAAAATCAGATATACATATTTATTTATTTAAAACCAAATGATATAAGCCTTCTGCAAGGGGGGCTACGTTTCATTTTCTCTCGTCTTAAGGGAATAACAGTGATAAGTGGCTTCATGTGGCAACCATGCTGTTTGTAGATAAGGACGACTTTAGTGACGTAGTGTCAGCCGTGCCGTGGCTTTGTATGTAGGAGGTACTGGTTCAGGCCGTTCTTTCTTGATGGTGTTGTGAATCACCGGCGATACCAGGACATGTTACAGAACAAGTTTGTTCCTCTCTTGGAGGAGCATAGAATCAAAGAGGCATGTTGGCTTCAGCAAGATGGGGCACCTGCTCATTATGCGCTTGCTGTATGAATCTTATGAAAGTCTTTCCTGGGTGTTGAATTGGTCGTGATAGTCCTCATCTGGCTGCACCACTTGCTTGGCCACCACAAAGCCCAGACCTCGCCACTTATGATAATGCGCAATGGGAGTTCATAAAGTGTATCATTAGACAAAACTGGTAAGATACCACTTTCTAACCAGCAGAAACTGTTAAACATTTCACTTAAGTTAATATGCAGTGCTCTGCAAAATGGCACACAGAACCTGGCAGCGTATTATCCTTTGCCATGAGACGGACAGTAGACAGATTAATCTTTTGGACAGGTAATGTATCCTATCTGAATCTTTATGTCATCAGTTTCTTTCCATGTAGTTAGTTATTTCAGGAGTAATAGGACTTAGTGGCACCCTGTATTATAAATAATTTGCACACAGCAGAAAAATCACAGTTGAACATTTTTATGTAATACTAATGACAAATCTAAGACAAATGATGAAAGTATGTAAAGTTTGACAAATGTAAGAAAGATATATAACAACAAAAATGAAAATGAAATCGCTTACCCACTAGCACTCATACACAAATTTTTAATAACCAAAATAATTTGATATTGGAATCCTCTGTTGAAATATCTTGATTCATTTCTTAAATCTATTTCAGTAACATGATCCTTCTTGTAATACCTGGCTTCATCTAGTGAAAATATAATCTGCAAATGCCAGCTATAATAGTTACTATTAAATAATGAAGAATATGTCTGTATGTTCCTTGCATTATGGAAAATTGGCACCACCTAGAGCCACCAAATTTTAAATTCACGTAATCCTTCACCCAAACATGTGAAAATCAAATTTTTTATTTCAATTTTGTTTTTCGCTTATTTTGCATTTTGTGCAAATTTAAGGAACTTTTGATTAAAAACAGCGATTTTAGCCTTTTATGCTGCCACTCTCGAAAAGTAAGATATTTATGTTTCAGATTTAATTGAAATGCAGCAATATACAAGTGTGTTGCCATTTTGCAAAATGCAATATATTTGTATGTTGCATTTAACTGCACATTGTAAAAACAAAGGCACACGTACAGCTACCAAATTTTGAGCATACATAATGTTTCACATGAACATGTATGCTTCAAAGCCCAAATTTTGAATTTATTTTTTAATTTTATACTTCATAATTTGTGCAAATTTATGGAACTTTTATTTAAAAACTGAGTGATCTTTGTTGCCACTGGGCATAACATAATATATTTATGTTTCAAATTTAATCAGAGAAATAATGAATTGTGTTGCTACTCGGCAACGAATATTTGTCTTTTGAAATAAAACACAAAAAATATTTCTTTCAAATTTAATTAACAAACTTGGCAATCTGAAAGAAAAATCTGTCAAATCTTCCATGTGGCAGTGTGTTGTCATTCAGCAAAACATGAGAAGGTATTTTTCTTTAAAATTTATTTTTATTAACTATTAAACTAAGCAATTTAAAAGCAATAAGTGCATATTCATTTCAATTCATTACTAGCTGGACCAGTGAAATTAAATGAACTGGGTTTATTATTAGAATGATTATATATTTTTTCTTTTTCTTAACTATTTTAGGTATTTGCCTGCACAAGTGGCTAGTGTGATAAAAATGGGGAATTTACACTTTAAAAAAATTTTTTAATGAGTTCAGTTCTTGTGTTAATTCATATATATATGCCTGTTTTTAAATGCACGATGCATTAAATTACAGAGACATACATTGAAAGAATGAGAGACAAAAAACAGTTTTTATAACAGAAATGTAAAAATCCAACTAGAAAATTGGTAATGATATTCAATATACAGTTGACATAAACTATACAGCAAGTAGAATTGACCAGTTCTAAAGGAAGGAAAGCCATACAATACAATTTTGTAGATAACCAATCATAAACAGATATACTTTTAAGTTTTATTCAAAAATGACAAGAAATATTCTCTTTATACATAAAGAATTATAATCTGGTGAGGAATCTGCTTTTTCTAATGTATACTTGTTTCTTGAGTTTCTACTTTTCTCCGTTTTGGTGCTATGTAGTTTCCTAAACCTGCAGCAGCTTCAGCCTCTTTCTGAGAATAAGGTTCCATTTCTAGAGCCTTGAGCCTATAAAAAAAGTATACTTCAATGCATCTAAAATACTCACACTGATGACTTACATATTTATTTGTGGTTCAAAAAAATTACAGTTATTATTGCTCAATAGGATTTTGGTTAACATTATTTATATATTGTTACTAAATTTAAGAAATGTAGTAATTTATATATGGATTGTATAGTTAAACCATTAGTTTAAAAACTTAGATTGTAAAATGAAAAATACCTGAATAGAAACAGATTCAAAACTTTGGTTAATTAATGTTAATGTATGAGATAAAGAGGTATATGCTAATGTCACAACAATGTGACAAAAAATTACAAATTTAGATTAAGATGGCTTTGCTGGTATGGTTCATTCACTGGACAGAAGAGCAAATACTACTTAAAAATTAAATCATGATGAAAAAACAGATGCAAAAAAAAAGCAAATTTTTCTTTTACTGTTGCAGCAAAAATTTGGATTACAAGAGCTGTCTTGGATTATTTTAAATTTTTAACTGAAAATATGCACATCATTGGTGAATCTATTCTTATAATGACATATTTAAAAACATATCTGCTATAGGGTATAAAATTCCTAATAAACATACAGCATTTCTGAGAGTAACACGTTATTACGGGAAGTAAAAAATCATATTTCATATGCATAATTAAACTGCCAATTAATTTTACTCAATGTTAGGAATTAATTCAATGGTTAAAAGCAATGCATTTTAATGACAGGTTATGAAAATAAGATGATATATAGAATATACCATGACAGCATATATCTTGTAAATTCATGCAAGGCCATAATTGTGAATACTAAAGAATTTTTGTCTTTCAACACTTTTGTACTTCAACCTTATGATCAAGGATTAGCAGAGAAAACACAGTGCCACTGTATAACACTGCTGGTGATGGCAGGGCAAACAGAGCATAATCAGCTGAATGTAAGGTGTGGTGAACCATAGGTACCATTTAGGGCGATATAAGTCACTGGCGTATATGGTTAGTTAGTAGACAGGGACCTACAGGTAAATACCTGTGTCCCCTCTACTTACACCTGTACCTATCACTGTATAACAAACAGCTGCTTAGACTGTATAGTAGATTGTGATGCTGATTGCTGTACCAATGAGATGGGGTTCAAATCCCGGAGATGGCATGGATTTTCGTGTCTGTGTAGTAAGTAACACGGCACACAGAATACACAGGAAACCAATAGTGCTCTCAAGTGATTTTTGGCAAGGGAAGAGGGATGAGAGATCTTCAGATCATCCCCAGCGGTGTTCTCCCTCAAAACTCTTACAGAACAGAAATGTATCTGTGTGACCGATGGTGAAATTTTGGTATTCCACCCACTTCTATTTGTGTACCTAACACTGTATAATGCCATCCACATGAAATAATAGTTAGTGGCACTGATTGCTATCCTACTGAATGCATGGATATTTGTGAGTGGATAGTGTCTGTGCAGCAAAGTGGCACTCAAAATACACAGCAAGCTGAAATCCTCTCGAGAGGTTGGTGATCAGAGAAAAGGGTAGGAGGCCCTTGGACAACACCTCCTCCAACTTTATTCCTCGGATTTCCAAAATGGGGGTGGAAGCTCAACACTTAACTAGGTACAAAAATAACTCACTCACTATATAGGTGCTGGCATACCTTTTACTTGTACCTGTCACTATATAATTAAATACTTTAACAGGTAAATACAAGGCCAACCACATTCCCCCAGTGTAAATATGAAACTCCTAGACCCCTACGGTTAATAGTAGAGGAAAGAGGACTGGGAGACCCTCAGACTGCTCCAGGGATGATCTCCATCGATACTGGGATTCGGCTTAACAGTCCCGGGGATACTTAATGTACTTTTGGGAATGCACAGGTTGTAGTCTTGCTTCAATGTGTGCCTGTCACCGTGTAAATTTAACTATGCTGTGGAACAAGATCACAGGAAGGTTCCTTGTATGCAAATAATAATAATAATTTATATGCTAGGATGTTACTTGACAAAGACACTAGTGGTCCACGAACTTACTACACACAAGGTTTGCCAGTCAAGTTTGTTAAACCTTATTATTACAATTCTGAAGAAGTAATTTTATTCGAAATAACTAAAAACTTTGTGACCAATGTATACTTCATCTATTTTTACTACTAGTAAAGGAAGAATTGTAATCATGAAATATTTCCGTGTCCATATTTCAACAAAAATATCTATTTTGACCGCTATTGAATGCAATTTACCGATGTTTTTTAGTGACATCTGTACATAAGGACAGAATAAAGGACTCTTTTCCCCCAAATGACTTATAAAACTGATTTAAAATGGATTCAGAAGATTTTTTTTTTTTTCATAGCATTTGTACATACCATATGTATCTCTCACAACTAAAAAATGAATAGCCTCAGATCACTGAAATTTTGTATGCACGACTGCTATAATATGCAGATGTGTATCTTCCTTTTTGGTTGCAATCAGCCGCAGCAAAAGTATACAAATATATATCCACTCCATTACTCAGCTCAGTGAGCTCAGTTTCTTTATTCATTATATGTTTGTAAATTATGCATTTTTTGCTTTAAAAATGATTGAATTATGTTGTTCTTATCTTCCGGTTACAGTTTTTATGCCTTTGTTAACCTGCATGTTATAATTGTATAATTATCAACAATTTAAAAGTTGTTTTAGTGCAGCTAATTTTTTTTTTTTTTTTTTTTTTTACCACAGCAGCCATATTTGTTTACATTTGAAACTTGACAAAATGCTGGATTTGTTGCCAAACTAGAGAAACTAAGCTTCACAACAACAAAGTAACTTCTTTTATTACTGTGGATTAATAAATTATCCCATGTATTTACTCAGCATAGCATCCATAACAAATTAAGTCAGTTTCTATACCTTCAGTATCTTTTTGCAAAGTGAAACCAAAAATAAACTCAGTTTTTTTTCACCGAAAAATTTGCCTTCTTGCCCGCTGGCTGAATTGCTTGTTTTTACGTAGAAACTGTAATTTTAAGTGTGAAAATTGTTTTTAAAATTGTTTTAACTATATTTGTTGTTTTATGTTCTTCTATTTCTTTTAATATTTAATATAGATATTTTGAGTTTTTATGTATTTCTGCCTTGTCGCGAACTTAGAACTGAATTAATTGAATGAGAAATACAACTTTAACAAAATTCGATGAAATAAGTTTAAACGAAATGCAGGAAAACGTGTGTATAATTTAATATTCCTTACAAGGAAGTCATGTGGTGTACACATTAGATTTTTTATGATGAATTTTAATTTTTGAAATGCATGCAAATTAAATCTCTGTGTAAATATATTTATCAATTGTTTCGCACTTTCATTTGAAAAATTAATGAGCCGGAGACTCAAAAAATAAGCATTTTGAAATTCTGGAAAATTGCCAAACTGCACTCTCAAATATCTTTATAACTTACATCTTTTTATGTCCTTACCTATGTAGATTTTAGTAAACATTTTAAAAATATCCGAGAGCTAAAAATTTCTCAAATGCAAAAACTCACAATCATACATTTTAGGAAGACCAGATCTTAATTTAAGAAATTTTGCTTTTTCAACTGTATAATGAACTAATGTATCTATGGAAAGTAATTCCATAGATACATTAATTACCAATGTTAATGCAGAATGAAACATGTCCCATTCAGAGAAAAATATAAAATTCGTAAGAAATAATGTGAACATCTAAATTATAATGTCCTACCTCTACAATGATATCAAAGAATTAAATGCGGAAATCTAAAATATTATGTATAAAATAGCATAAAATATACTAAAGATGAAAATTTTATACATAAATTGTCAAACCAATTTAATCTTTGTACAGGTGAACATTCTTAATGCTTTCCTTTTTTAACATTGCTCTTTAAATAACTATTAATTTAAAATAAAATAGTTAAGTATATTTCCTTGAATAACTACATTTCTTCCTTTAAATTTTACAATGTTCCTATTTAAAAAAAAATTTCATCATGAATAAAAATATAAGCATTATATGTATAGCTGACAGTTAAAATATGTTATTGTGTTGATACACAGTGCCAAAAAAAAAAGGACAATTCTGTGTCTCCCGTTCTACTGGACCGATTGACGAAATGCAACTTGCATTTTTCATGTCTCAAAAGCGTGACTTAGAATATGTATAGCATTGGTCTAATATAGGTATTTTGACACAAAATCGAACTTTTCTTGAAATGACATGTAAAATTTTTTCCATAGTTCTATTCTATGTCTCAAATTATGTCAAACTGCCAAGTTTTATAAAAATCATACGATAGTTTATAAGCAATTAGCTCTCAAAATTTCAGCTCCTCCATGTTAATTGATATATATTTATTAGTATCTCTTTTTTATTAAACTTATTTGATTCTTCCTTTCACATTTCGTAATTTAGGTTCATTCCAAGAAAAATTTGCCCATTTTTAAAATTTGTACTTTTAAATAATTTTTATAAATTTTTCAAAAAAGATTTTGAATTATAACCTATAAAGTTTTTACTGTCATCTTAAAGAAAATGTATTTCTAAGCATACGTGCAAAAATTTGGAATTTTTGATTCCAAATTTCTGAAGATACACAAGAATTTATATATTGGTGCCTTTTGAAATTTGGCATATTTATAGAGAAAGTGATAATAACGCCGAGTATGGTTTATGCACTTTGTTAAAACTATTTGAAATAATGAACAATGACATTTTTTGCTCGTATACAATGAAAAAAAGGAAAGGAAAATAGGTTGCTATAAATTAAAAAGTTTGCCAAGTGAATCATTCTTGGCACAAACTGAAAAAATGCGCCAATATAAATTTTTTAATTTCTCCGTAAATTGCACACCAAATTTTACACAATTTAATATTTAGGCTTAATTTGAGTCCTAGAATCAAAATATAGAAAAAATTGGCATGTCACTTCAGAAAAAGTCTGATTTTGTGTCAAATACCTATATTAGGACAATGCTATATATAAATCTAATACGTATCCTAAGTCGCGA